CTACATAGTGAGTTCCAGGATGGCCAGGGCTGCACAGTCAAACCCTGTCTAGGATAAAACAAAATAGAAAGATGTCGTGACCAAAGCCAGCTTGGGGATGTTAGATCAGGATGGTGGGGGCCACATGGAAACACCTACAGAAGCTCATGGTACTCTAACCAGAGCAGGGAAGGGCAGCGGTCTCTCGGAGGGAGGGGAGACTCTGTCCTTAAGTACTGGGGATTGGGGTTTCATAGGGCACAAGAGAGAAGTTTGGAGGTGAGGATTAGATTTCCTAGGCAGATCTGCTCCCCTATAGTCTTGGGGGTTGGTATGTTGATCTTTTAATCAGGGGTTCCTGGGTCCTCACATCCTATAAACCTTATTGGTGTGCCAACTTTCCTCTCGGGACTTTTCAGTCCACCTACGGTTTTGGGGGTTTATTAACCCTTTGTTCTGGATACCGAGGATATCAAAAGGAAGAGTGTGCCATGTTCACCTGGCTGTTTCCTGCCGAACTGGGGCAGAGTCCAGTTATTAGGGTCCTCGAGATCTAGGGGGGCCTGTGTTGGACTGACTTCAGGTAGCAGGAGAATTTTGGCTTGAACAGCTGTGGTAGGTGTGATTGCTGACGCACACTCCCAGAGAAACCTTGAAAAATATTCATTTCACTAGACAGAGGGCTACAGTGAGTGAGATAACAACAGATAAGAGGATATGGTGGGGTGGGGGGATAGGGGGGACCCAGCCAGAGCAGCTATGTGCTAATGTGGACCTGGGGCTGGCAGGAGGAGCTTCAGCAAACTTTAAAAGACAGGGTAAACATCCAGCGTGAGGGTCATAGGGAGGAAAGGTGTGGCTGTGGGGTGGAGCCAGAGTAGGAGGGGACCAAGGTCTACCCATAGGAGGAAGTTTGGCATTTTTTTTTCTGGTCCCTAAGTCTTTGGACCCCATCTCAAATTAGTGTTGTGGGGTATTTGTACACTGTGTGAAGGTGTATTGCTGTGATTGGTGTAGTAAAAAGCTGAACAGCCAATAGCTAGGCAGGAAAAATAGGCGGGACTTGTGGGCAGAGAAAGGGAGAGGAGGAGGAAACTAGGCAGGTGAGAAGCGCTAGGAGACAAGGGAAGGAAACAGGTGCAAGATGAAAGAAAGGTAATAAGCCACAGGGTAAGATGTAGATTAATAAAAGCAGGTTAATTTAAGTTATTAGAACTAGTGGGAAAGGCTTAAACTAAGGTCGAATTTTCATAATTAATAAATAATTCATAATTAATAAATCTCCTTTTCCTTTGTCAAAGGAAAGTCTGACTACAAACCAGTTTAGATTTGTTGGTACAAAAGCAGAGTTGTCCCTGAGGGAGGGCACAAATCTCACAGTTAGCAGGGTCCGGACGTTGAGTCCTCTTTAGTTTTGGAGTTCTGCAAAGTTGGTCCCCAAGGCTGTTAAGCTGACATGAAATTTCTTTAAGGTCTTCTGAGAGCTGGTGAATCAGAGAGGTTAACTGTACAAAGAAGCCTCCGTCCAGATGTTCTAGTTCTGAGTTCTGGGGAAAATACCCAGAGCAGCAAGAGAGGGGATGGGTCAGTGACCCATTAGTCCCTTTTCAGAGGCCACCTGACCTGCTGTCAGGAGTGGAACACAGATCTGTCTTAACTGATTCGAGCTGACAGGAGAGGTGAGGTAGAGAGGGCAGCAGAAAGAGTGTGCCTCTGAGAGAGGCCAGGATAAACCTTAGCGGCTGGCAAAGATCCCAACATTCGATGACATTTGATAACAGGATGTACCGTGGAGTGTGTAGTGTGAGCTAACAGCTGTGGCATACAAGGGTGAGACAGGAATACTGTGATAACTACTACGAGTGTAGTTTGAAATAAAGAATAGTTGTACCCTTCTTAGAGGAGGAGAGTCGGCAAGAAAACCATCTGAGGAGCCCTTGATAGACACTGTCATAGGTGTCAGAGAGACTGATGGCTTCTGCCATCGTTGTCCATCACAGGATGTAAGGTCATTGATTGGTGGGAGAGCTTGAGGCATTGTTTTCACTGGCCAGCATAAGTTCAGAATCTGTCACTGGGTCTCCTGTATTACATATAACCTTGTGGGAAAAATTAAGAGAGAGTTTGTCCTGCGCTACCGTCTCGCCAGCATGAACGACGCAGCACACTTAGGATCCTTCTGCAGAAAAGCTTTAATGCGTCTTGAGAGAGAGAGCATAAGCTTACAAAGCAGAGACCCAGAATGAGGGGAACCCATCCCTTATATAGGAAACAGTCCTCGCTTCGGACGTGTCATTCTTGGATTGGTCCGCTGCCCATCAACCCAGATGACGCCTCGGGAGTAGGCAGGGACGCAGCAGTGGAAAGTTACCAAGCACATGCGCATTATAGTCCCATTGTCTCTGCCTCCCCAATGCTGGGATTAAAGGCGTGTGCTATAACACCTTGAACTCACAGAGATCTGTCTCTGCCTCCCAGGCATTGGGATTAAAGGTGTGTACTACCACACCCTGAAGTCACAGAGGTCAACTACCTCTGCCCCTTAAAGTAATGGAGAATGTGGTTGCAGCCCTCCACATCTTCCCCCTTTTGACTTCTTTGCAGAAAGGCAACTCCCTCAGAAGGCAAAGATAGAGGTCGCACTTCCCAGAGTGGAAACATTATAATGGGCTTGCACGGAATCTGCCCCTAGGTTCATGACATCTGGAACTTATCCGGCCTGCCCTCTGCCATTTTTCTGGGAAAGGGAATATATGGCAGGAAACCCTTATGCAGGGCGACATATCTCTCAGAGAGGGCCATTCTCTGTGTGATGCTCTTCAGCTCGACAACCTTTAGGTCTAGCTAAGCCAAGCACTCCACCCTGTGCAATGGACCATTGTCCTAGGGGTGCAGGAGCTGGTTGGCATAAACCTTACTGCTTCAGCATAGATAACCACACATCAGTAGAGGCCCCCTGTTCCAGGGCAGCCAGCGCTTGTGCAATAACCATTTTGTCCCTACGGCTTTGGGATTTGAGTCAGCAGACCATCCAGAGGAGAAACACTATTCCACAGCATAGGGCTGCTCCAAACATTTCCATCCCCATCCCCACCCATTCTTTGAAGTAGGAGATGAAGGACACAATCCAGGACTGGAATCCTTCGGCTAAGCTTATAAATCATCTCTAGGAAGGTAGGGGAGCCCCAGAGTCTTATTGGTTGTAAAAAACCGAGGGAACACCGCCAATCTATGGTTGACTAGTGTCGGCTTCGGGAAGGCTGAGAGTATCCCCCATCGCTGCTCCATCATAACCGTTGTCATCCATCCGCAAAACGGCAGGGGGAACAGAAGCCAAATCTTCAGGCGAGTCCGCATGTTGTGGGTCACTTTTCACCGTTCAGGTCAGTCTCTCTGGCACCCAGAATGGGTTTTCCTGATCCTGTGGGAACACACAAACAGCTCCCCTGGATCTCAATAGAATGGGATCCGGGCCTTTCCATTCATTAGAAAGCACATCTCTCCATTTAACCAAATCCTTGGGCCGCTGCAGATCCGAACAATGTCGTGTTGCCGCATTCTGGCCATTATCATCCAAATTTTAAAAATTTATAGTGAACAGAGCCATGGCAATGGCCATATTTGGCATCGGGGGCAACTCCTTCATTATTCTCCCTTTTTGTTTAAGTAGATATTCCACGGAGAGATGGATGGTTCTATGTGTCCCAGAACCAATTGCTCATTAACTAGCTGATTCACTGCTTTTAATTTTTTTAGAGGTAAGTGGCCAGTGGGGAACCCATACTGGGGTCTCTGTTTTTCATGGTATGGGCCGTGCTGCCCCAGTGGCACCTAGGAAAAACCCAGGCCCTGTTTGTTGATATTAGGTTTAGGATTAAAAGTCTTTGGCCCAAGGCGTTCCTCATAAGGAAGCGCCGGAGGGGCGGTTGGGGGAGGGTGCGGCTCATAAGGAGGTGGATGGGCCGTTTGGGATGACTTTCTCATGGCCCTACTGCTGGAAGACCGTGCCCCATTATGGGGATATCTTCTCCTCTCATATCTAGCCTCTTCTTCTTCTAATTCTGCCTCCTCCTCTGTATCTAGTTCTTTTATCTCTTCTCCTGAGCCAGAACTTTCGTTCTCATGCTCATTTTCATGGTCATTTTTAATTTGCAGAGCTTCGAGCTCCTGCAGAGAATATAAACTATTGTTCTTTCCTTTTTTTTGTTGTTGGTATCAGAAAGCTTTTGACCTTGTAGGTCAGTCTTCTCCCCCGTTCTTATTTTCTTAGAACCATCGGGGGGTCTTTTTTTCTTATCTGGGACTGTCCTTTTCTTGTGCACGCCCAACCTCTCATTGTGCTCAGTTTCTGACATGCTATCCTGAACTTCCTCCCCTTCTGCAACAACCGCCTGGCAGGATTTATCTTCTAAGCAATTCCAAAGTGATCCCAAAAGAACTGCTAAAAGAAGTACCAAGGCCTCTACGAAACCTTTCCAAGGCAGAGACAAGTCAAGCCCAAAATCAAAAAGTCCAGAAATAGTCATACCTCTCTGAGCATACAGACCTGTAGTTCTGAATCCTCCTTGTGTCCAAGGGGTCTCCGGCGGTGCGAGCAGTGGTCAGGGTCCCCCGGCGTCTCGGGTTTCAGCACCAGATGTCCCGCGCTACTGTCTCGCCAGCAAGAATGACGCGGCACACTTAGGATCCTTCTGTAGAAAAGCTTTAATGCGTCTTGAGAGAGAGAGAGAGAGCATAAGCTTACAAAGTGGAGACCCAGAATGAGGGGAACCCATCCCTTATATAGGAAACAGTCCTCGCTTCGGACGTGTCATTCTTGGATTGGTCTGCTGCCCATCAACCCAGATGACGCCTCGGGAGTAGGCAGGGACGCAGCAATGGAAAGTTACCAAGCACATGCGCATTATAGTCCCATTGTCTCTGCCTCCCCAATGCTGGGATTAAAGGTGTGTGCTATAACACCTTGAACTCACAGAGATCTGTCTCTGCCTCCCAGGCATTGGGATTAAAGGTGTGTACTGCCACACCCTGAAGTCACAGAGGTCAACTACCTCTGCCCCTTAAAGTAATGGAGAATATGGTTGTGGCCCTCCACAAGAGTTAATAAGGAAAAATTTTAACATCATGATTAATGTAAGCTTTTTTTTTGTAAGGTAAAACGCTATTGTAAAACTGACTGGACCATGTACCAGAGGCCATAAGGTAACCATAACCAGCTGTTTGTGACCTCAGAGTCTTACATGAGGATCTAACACTTAGATACTTAGCAAGTCAGTTAAAGTCAGCGTCTATCCCACAATTTGAGAGAAAAATAGGATCCTGTTGGGTCGTTTTCATAGTATTGTCTATCAAAAGTTCAAGAACACCACTTAGGTATCCAGTATAATTTCCCAAACCTGTGAGTTTGATGGCAGGGTATCTGGCAGCCTCCTTTATTCAGGAAACATGGAGGTGAGGGTGCAGAATGCCACATCACACCTGTGGGAAGCTCTCTTCCAGAAAGAGCTGGTGTTCCATAGCTGCTGTCTTAGTTGGGGTTTCTTCTGCTGTGAAGAGACCCCACGACCATAGCAATTCTTATAAGGAAAAGCATTCTGGGCTGGCACACATTCTCAGAGGTTTAGTTCACTCTCATCATGGTGTGACATGGTGGCATGCAGCGGAGATGGTGCTGGAGGAGGAGCTACAACTTGATTCGCAGGCAGCAGGAAATGGACTGAGACACCAGGCATGGCTTGAGCACATGTGAGACCTCAAAGCCCACCTCCACAGTGACACACTTCCCCCAACAAGACCACACCTCCTAAGTGCCACTTCCTGTGAGCTTATGGGAGACCAATTACATTCAACTACACACTGCTATGGCTGGTAAAAGCAGCTTTGAGATTTGGCCTTAGTATTGAAGTAGATAGGCTCATTCTCCCAGCTGTGGAGAGAGACGGCAATGCTGAAGTAAACCAAGGCCTCATCCTTGTTTGGGGGGATTAAGTTTTCTATGACTGTCATTGCAAAAGGAAAACTTAACATAGAGCTCTCTTGGTGTGAGAGAATTGTCTGTATTCTGTCAATCATAATAAAACGCTGATTGGCCAGGCAGGCAGTATAGGCAGGAAAGCCAAACAGGAAGTAAGGGTGGAGCAAAGAGACTGGGAGTATTCTGGAAGCAGAAGCTCCCTCAGCCACTCCTGCGCAGACCACTGAAGAGGCAGCATGTAACTTGCCCAGCTGAGAAAGGTATGGAGCCGTGTGGCTAATGTAGATAAGGATAATGGGGTAACATAAGTTATAAGAGCTAATAAGTAGCCTGACCTAATGGGCCAATCAGTTTATAACTTATAGAGATCTCTGTGTGGTTGATTTTCTCTGGGACTTGCCGGCTGTGGGGTACTGGGTGGGAACAGATACCCCAACTAGCTGGCCCCTCATGTTACACTCTCTAGTCACCGTATTCTTATTCAGAGGGAAACAAGGCAGACACCCGTGGGACAAAGGAGTATGGGGGCGGGTGCATTTCATCTCTGAGAAGGGGCCTGGGGAAACCAGGCAGAAGCGGGCATTGAGACCCAGCAGAGCCCAAGAAGCAGCTCCTTACTGGCAGCAGCCTGTGGAGCACTTGGCGGTTTATCCTGAGACTCTGCTGTGATATGTAAATCTCAAAGCATTAGTGCCTGTGTTAGCATGCATGTGCTGGCATGCATGTGTTAGCATGCATGAGGCTCAGGCTCAGAAAACCTTCAGGTTCTCCTTAGAAGTCTGTAAATGCATCATGTAAAAACAGTGTCAAAAATCAAAACAAAAAAAACCCATTAAAATTACAAATAAAACAAAACAGAAAGAACCACCTTAGACAACTGACGTCACCTTCGTCTAATGTAAAGGGTGTGCTGTTCCCCTGAGGACTCAGTGCATTGGGAACTTTATTAACGTCTCCCTTTCAGAGGAGCCCAATTTCCTAGTAAAGTGAGCCCACCTCCAACCAGGGCATATCTCACACGTCAAATGTAGATCGTTATACCCTTTTATTTAAAGAAAATACTCGCTTTAGTAAGTTAGTATGGATATAGGAGGAGAGGGTACCTGTGGCCTAGGCAGGTAACCCAAAATAGCAAAATAGACAGAGGGAGAAATTTCTTGTTCTCACTTCAAGGAAGACAAGCCCATAGGTAGTTGGTAAACTTACAGGGTAAGGTTGCTTTCAGAGTTGGAGAAGACAAGGGGAGGAAAAACAGATTAGGGTGCTTCAAAAACAGCAAAGGTTTGTGTCCAGGTGATAGAAACTCCCAAAGGAGTATTACCAGCCAGGTTCCAGGAGGCGGGAAAAGTTGGGCTCCTCTTCCCTCCCTTTTCCTGTCATGGAGTCAGGGGGCCAGGACAGGGCTTTGAAGGACATTTCAAAACAAGCATGCTTAATTTTAAAGTGGGAGGGTCAAATTCCCCCTCCAGAGCCCGCTTCTCAGTGGGTGTAAAGAGCGTAGGACACTAGCTATCCAGCTGATTCTCTGCTTTGGCAGAGAGGGACTTCGTCAGCTGAATTTGCAGCCAACAGAGAGTTTGGGGAACCTGGGTTGGAAGTCTGAGGATTCAAACCTGACATGCAGAAACGGGGGAATCGAGGACTGAAGAGAAAGAGGGGACTGGAAGGCAGGGGACTTCTGATCATTTGCCATTCCGTCTTACGAAGTTGCTTCCAACAGTGATACAAAAGTACTGTCCAATTTGTTTTGGGTCCAGACACTCACCTTGAGGTTTTAAGCCAAGCCAAAAGCGTGTAGGAATGGAGACCTTGGATCCCATTTTGGGAAAGGGAAGACCGAGGCTGGTTTCTGATAATTAACCATCATCTACAAACAGGAATTGGCTGAAAATGAGTGTCTGAGAGCTGCAATGTGTGTCCCAAATTCCAATGACCTGGCAGGCAAAGCTGGAAGCAGAAAGTTCTGGGATCAGGCAGGGTATCATTCTATGGTGCCTAGAAGCTAGCCCCACGCCTTACTTTGGTGTAAGATGCTGGTGCACTGGTCGTGACTGGTGAAAGGCCTATGCTCTGGAGGTCAGCAGACACACCGAGAAGCAGAGGAGGAAACACACCCACACTGGGCACATGTGGCACACCCACACAGCCCCCGAGTAGGGCTTACATGGCTTACAGAGACACAAGTGGCAACAGCTCAGAGGTTTCAGGTCATAACTGCTGGTTGTTACACCTCTATGGGATGATGTCAGAAAAACGGACAGAGGGTTGGGCAAGGGACAGTAGGAGGACACCAAGAGAGAAGGTCTGCGGAACAGGACCCCAGTCCTCTCCCAGGTTTCAGCACCAAATGTTAAATCAGGATTGCTGGAGGGAGAGAGAGAACTGTGTGCCAGGTGAGGGGAGTAGGGTTTTATAGGCCGGAAAATGGTTCTTTTGTGGTGGAAGATTCCCTACGCAGATCTGTTCCCCTGCAGTAATGGAGTTGTCACGTTGATCTCATCAGGGATCCCTGGATCCTACAGAAGTTCTGATCAGCTTTCCTGCTTCCTGGTCCTGAGTTCCACAGTCCACCTGAGGTTTTCCAGCCATTAACCCTTTAGGGGAAGAAAGGATTTATTTCATCTCACAGCTCACAGGGGTCACTCTGAGTCAGGGCAGGGACCTTGAGGCAGAAGCTGATGCAGAGGCCATGGAGAGACTCAGTTGAGGACAGCTGCCTCCTCCATCCCAGGCCTCAGCGCTGTGTGACTTCAAGTTCAGGCTTCAACTTTTGGAGTAGATTTTATTTACTTGTTTGACACGATAAACAGGTAAAAATGCAAGCCTGACAGCTGGAGTTCAAGTCCTGGAAGTCAAGTAAAAGGCCAGGTGTGGCAGTGCACACCTGCCATTCCAGGAGTCCTGTGGTGCCATCAGTTGAAGCAGGAGAACTGGCCAGAAGCCCAGCAAACCTGGAGTTTGCTTCAGGGACCAGAGAGGTAGAAAGTGAAAAGTGAGCCCTCAAAATTGTCCTCTGACCTCGACTCACAGGCTGCTGCATGCACTCATATACACATACAAGAAAGGAGGAAGGGAAGGAAGGAGAGAGGAGAGCAGGGGAGAGGAGAGGAGGGGAGAAGAGGGAAGGGGCGGGGAGGGGAGGGGAGGGGAGGGGAGGAAGAGAAGGAGGAAGGTCCATTTGTTCTGAAATTGTAGTTTGGAATTACAACCACCAGGTGGCAGTAGTGTCTAAGTCATAGAATCCTAGCACCCAGGAAGCAAAATGCTTGCTTGTTAAATCCTACCACCTTGCTGATTGCCAGGACCAGACGGCTACGCAAACTACAACTTCCTTACACATTCACGAGCAAGCTGTGATTCTGAGCACTACGCCATTTAGTTGGAGTCACGCGGCTCAGCCTAGCAACTCAGGATACAGACCAGAGTGGTTGTTCCCCAGGCTGCTAAAGGACATCTCTAAGTAGTCTGGCTTGGTTCCTGACCCCTTCATGAGTTCTAGCCCAGATCCCGGTAAGTGTCAAGCTTATCAACTGGTACCCAGAACATCACGTGTGCTCTGGGAAGTAGGAAAACACCTCCTCCTCCCTTAGAGCTGTATAGGTAAAACCCAGTTGAAGGAAGTGTTTTGTCATTAGAACCAATCGTTTTCTATTAAAAAAAAAATATTAGGGACTGGAGAGATGGCTCAGAGGATAAGACCATTGCTATTCTTCCCAGAGGACCTGGGTTCGATTCCCAGTACCCACATGGTGACTCACAGCTGTGATTCCATCTCCAGGGGATTCGATGACCTCTTCCAGCCTCGGCAAGCACAACACACATATTGCACAGACAAGCATGTAGGCAGGGCGCACATATGCATACAGCAAAAGTAATAAGGGTGTCTTAAATGTTTACAGTTGACTCTGAGAAGTTCATACAGTGTACCCTCTCCCGGCTCCTCCCAGATCCTCTCCTCCTACCTCCTTACCCTCTCAACTTCACCCTGTTGTTATTTTTTTTAACACATTAAATGGAAGAAATTCTTAACATCCACCACTTTTCTTGAAGTTCAGGTAACATACATCATATTTGAGTCGAAAGCCTCCCTCCTCACAGGCTCTTCCTTGAATGGCTGGCATAGGGAATTCCTTGCATGGCTGGCATAGGGGAATTTATCGGGTTTATTTCGATCCAGCTGTTTACTTCTCGGGTATTCACTGCCAGTACTCTGCCGCGGTTAAATAAAATCGGGGGTCACTGGAGCGCAGGCGCAGAACACAGCGACTAGACTACAGAGGCTGCCGCTGACGGGGGCTGCCGCTGACGGGGGCTGCCGCTGACGGGCGCTGGCTGTCGGAACAGAACGCTTGTACTGCACAAAAGATGATTTGTGTCCCAGCTGGGAGATGTCATCTTGCCACTCAGCGTGGCACGTGATCTGAAGCCTAAGTTTGCTTCTGGAATTTTCCATGTGATATTTTTCACACCACAGTTGACTGAATGTAGTATAAACAAGAACGGGCCCAAGGTGAGGAGGGGGCTACTGTATCCTAGAGAGCATCCACAGGGTGGGAGGGGAAGAAAGTCCGCTGTACCCAAGACTGCGGCCCCTTCGACCTTGTCCAACAGGAAGGAGAGGGAGACAGTTCCCTCGTGAAGCTCCCTTCTACTCCGCTGGGGTCTTCACAAACTTGTCTTAACAATGTTCCTGTAACCGCCATCAGGACTCCTACGTCTTTGTCAGAGCAGCTCCGCTTCTGGTCAGCTGGTTTGGGCTGTGATAAACTATCACATGATGACTGCATGTGACCCTCCCCCTCTTCTGTTCTATTGTCATGCACAGCCTGTCCTCCATGTGCACCCAGTGGGACTCCATGTGCGCCCACCCCCGTCTTTCCTGTTATTCTTTTGGTTTGGTCCCTTTAAGGGCAAGCCACGCCCACTCCCAGCCACTTCTGACCCCTGGTCTTCATCTTAACCCTCTTCTTCTGTCCCCCCCCCTCTCTCGGCGTGTGCACATGTGTCTTCTCTGTGTCTCTTCTATGTCTGTCTCCATGTCTCTCTGTTTCCCTCTTCTTTAAGTAATAAATGTTTACCTTTATGTTTAGCCTTATGTCTATTTATTATGTCCTGTAAGTCTTTTATCCGCCGCACCCCCGCCTGACTCTCCCGGCCGCATGGCAGGACCAGCCTGCCACCCTGGGGATCTTGCAGGGACCCACAGCTGTCCTTGTCAGACTAGCGACTGCTCTGCAAGCCTGCCGGAACACCCCAACATTATTTTTTAACAACAACATTTCCTATACACCCCCTTTCCACCCCCACGTGTAACTTTCTGCTCTTGTTGAATTGCCACAGTCCCCACTTGGCTTCCAGGTACCTATGAGGTTCCTAGGACTCCTCCTGCCTCAAGCAGGCTTTATCTGTCCCAAGGTTTCTCTAGAGAGTCCCTCAGAGAAACAGACAGTGGTTGCCCAACAGGAGCATTGCAACAGGGCCGGGAGAGTCCTGGTGAGAATCCTTGGAAAGTACTAGGAGCCCCAGAAGGATGGCCCTGCCCTGCAGCAAGTGGGCAGCGGCTTCCAGAGTGGCTGGTCAAACAGCAGGAACCTGAGGCCTAGTGACAAGGTGACCTATACCTCCAGTCTGTGCCTACAATACAGGATACAGACTCTGTATCCCAGAAGGGCAGTTCCATAGAGGAACAGGCTCCAGCTTAGTGATGCAGGCAGTACAGGCTTTCCCCAGGCCTTCTGCTGAGCAAATGGTGGTCTGGTTCTACAGTCACTGCCTGTGACCCATGCAGGTTGTTCTGGCCCAGGAAGGGGCACAGAAAGGCCATGACCTGTGAGAAGTAAACTCAGATCTTCTAGCTCCTTCTGCAGCTGACCTCTTCTGACCCTGGCTTCCAGCACCACTTCACCCCCACTGTCTGTCCTCGCAGATTCCTGAGTCATAAACGTCCTTTCTCAGGGACGGCCTCTTCTTGGTCTTTCCTTTGCCATCTTACAAAGAAAGGGAGCCTGCTGCAATCTTGGCAAGTTCAGCTCAGATCTCTCTCTCAGCTCGGGGCAGCCTAGGGAAAGCAGCCCCCTCACTGGGTAGGAGGAGCCTCTATGTAACCTAGGAAGTCCTGGCTGCACATGACCCCAGTGATCCATCTTCCTTCTGGCACCAGCCTTGCTATCCTGTGAGCAGCCCTGGAGGAGTGGAAGAGGAGGGTGCTATGAGGTCAGGCCCTGTGGGGACAGGGACAGGCCCCTTCTTTTCTCTGTATAGCATCTCCTGTTCCCGGAAGCAGGAGGCCAGAGTCAACAAGAAAGATAGCATTTTCTAATGGCCTTCCAGAGACGCAAGGAGGGAGGAAATCTCACCTCAGAGCTGTTGGGTGCCTCAGGGCTGTGTTCCCACCTGCAGGTCTGCAGAAGGGACTCCCTCGGAGCACTGAAGGCCAGCCTCTCACCAGACCTTGCTGGACAAACTCCCTCCAGTGGCCTGGGAGGCCTTGACCTTGTGTTCCAAAGTAGCAAACATTTGTAGAAGCTGTGGAAGTTTCTGTTTTGTTTCGCTTGGGCACAGGCAAGAGCTGTAGAGATAAAAGACAGGAGTGGTGTCTGCCTTACCGTTCTCCACCTTATTTTAATTTTTAAATTTTATTGATTGATTGATCTATTTGTTAGGACTCTCTGAACAAGCTCACCTACTTGTGAGATTGGCTCGCTAATGAGCCCCACAGACTGCCGGTTGCCTGTCCCCACCCCCTTCCCACTTCCAACACTACCTGTTTCTTTATTTGCTTAATTTTTATGTAGGTATTGGGGATTTGAACTCAGGTCCTCTCACTTGCCCAGCAGGCACTTTCCCCACGGAGCCCTTTCTGCATATCACAGGCTGGAGAAAGAGTAAACCAACTTTGGGATAAAATAGTCTGAAAGTATTGCTTGGGCTGGCAAGACAGCTCTGCAGGCAGAGGCGCTTGATGGCTCAGCCTGACAACCCAAATTCAACCCCATAAGTTGCCCTCTGACCTCCACACACAGACCATGTCATGTGCTCTCCACACACATGCAAGTAAATAATTGCAATGAAACAAAGTCACATTTTGTGTGTTTCATACCCTTCGACGCGTGTGCCTCTGCAGTAAACGTGGCCTAGGCATGCAGAAGCGGTGCTCATAGACAAGCCAGAAAGTCAGCCCATTATTTGAGTGAGTGCTGGTCCCTTTAACATCTGATAGAGATGCGTGGCCAAGGTCTGGAGACAAAGCTAAAGCATCGTGTTTCGACTCCATGGCCTTATCACAGGAGGGGAGCCAAGCCAGAGCGGGTAGTCAGCCCACCCTCCACAGGCACCCTAGACAACAGTAGTCCTCTGCGGAAGGGACCCCGGCCCTAACTTTCTGCTGTTGCACAGAGTTCCTTAGCCAGGAGTCACACAGTGACTGGGGCAGCAGATGGTTCACATTATACTGCAAATTCTCCCCGTCTCTTGGTTAATGATGGACAGTCAGGTGCCACAGCAAAGAGAGATCAGAAGAATGGATGCAAAGAAATGAGACAGTTACTGGTCTTGGACTCTAAGAGTTGGGATCTGGAGGTGCAGAAGGCACTGCTGGGGGACATGGCACCAAATAAAGAATTCATCAGGAGGGCCCCCAGAGAGACAGTTGTAATTCTGCACTTGGGCGCTAGAGACAGAAGAACCAGTTCAAGACTGGCCTAAGCTGCATAGTGAATCTGAAGCCAGCCTCCGTTATGTGAGATTCAGTCTGGAAATAAAAACAAAACAATAAACATGCAAACAAAAAAAACCTAAGACATGCAAGCAAATAAACACAAACAAACGAGAACCTGCGTTCTGGCAAGGGCGGCCCCACATGCCTGTTGTTCCCGGGTTCTTGCTCCTGAGGCAGCAGGCAAAGAACGCACATTCTGGGCTAGGAGCAGGTCAGAGTACAAGCAAGCCAGGAGGTGCTGAGGCTGGCAGACAGAAAAGATCAAAGGACACAGAGTTAACAACTGTACCACGGATTTAAACTGTCATTTTGCTTAATTCGTATAAACATTCAGGGCTCTTTCTCCCGTCCTTGTAACACACACAGCCCAGTAGCCTAAATCATTTATGTTCTGTGTCAGTTCACCAGAGAGGGCAGACATGGTGGCTGGGGGTGGGGTTTGAGGAACAGTGGCGGCCCCTGCTTGTCCCTTCCTGCTCTGCTCTGACCCACCAGAAGAAATAGCCCTCATTTTTTTTTAGTGGTTTTTCTTTCCTATTTTTTTTGTTAATCTTAAATATTATGTTTTCAAATAAGATACAGAATTCTATTTACCCAAAAATCCATTTTACAGTTCTTTTTAATTTGATAAAATTTAAAAAATATCTTTGATAGGGGACAGAGATATAAGACCCGGCACCAAGCCCAGTGACTTGAGTATGATCCCCAGCACCCATGCATTGGCTAGTTTTTGTTTTGTTTAATTGTGGTTTCGGGTTTTTTTGTTTTTGTTTTGATTTGGTTTTTCAAGACAGAGTTTCACTGTGTAGTCCTGACTCTCCTGAAACTCACTACGTAGATCAGGCTGGTTTTGAACTCACAGAGATTCGTCGGCCTCTGCCTCCCAAGTGCTAGGATTCAAGGGTTGCGTCACCACCGCCAGGTGCAATGGCTAGTTTCAAGTCAACTTGACACAGCTGGGGTCATTTGAGAGGGGTGTGATCCTTAACTGAGAAAAAGCCTCCAGAAGACAGGCTTTAAGCAGGCAAGCCTGTGGGGCGTTGTCTTAACTAGTCATTGATGGGGGAAGGCCCAGCCCATTAGGAGCGGGCACATCCTAGGCTGGTGGTCCTAGGGTCTTTAAGAAAGCAGGCTGAGCCAGCCAGTAAGCAGCACCCTCCATGGCTTCCGAGTCAGCTCCTGCCTCCAGTTTCCTGCCCTGCCTGAGTTCCTGCCCAGATGAACAGGGTTGTGAAATGTAAGCCAAACAAACCTTCCCCTGCCCAAGTTGCTTTGATTGCGGTGTTTCATCGCAGCAACCCTAACCGAGACAGGAGAACAAACTCCTATGAGCTTGTTCACCCCTGCCCTGGCCTCTACATTGAAACTGTAGCGTGCATATGCCTAGCACTCCATCTCATAAGCACGCACAAAATAAATTTTACACACACACCACCGCAAACATCCAGAACACAATTCCACAAGTAAAACACAGATTATGCTTAAACTCACAAGCTGATTTGGAATGAGTTTGGAGTTTCTTAATTTTACTATTTCAAACAAAACGAAACAAAATCAACTTGCTGCAGGTGTGCCAAACTTCTTTACTTTGAGGAAACTAGGTCCTGCCTTTTGCAGTCACTGGCCAACTCGGATTGAAGTGATCTAACAGTATAGGCCCCTGTTTGTCTTGGCTCAGTAACAGTTGCTATGGAAACAAGTCACTGACCTACTTCCTCCCACCTCCAGGTAAGCGCCAGGTCTCCTCCTTTTTTGGTTCCCTGTATCTCCCCCTCTCCCTGCTCAGGAATTCCTCAGACTGATAGCTGAGTGTCATTTCATGCTAGCTCTGGGGGCTCTCATGGGCACAGCCTGTGTAGGTTCTGCCTGTGAAGTGTCTGATCACCCAAGGGCTCCTCCTCCAGGGGAGGTGCAGGCTTGACCCAGAAGTCATGGGTGAGGATTGTCCATCTGGACTGACCGGCTTTGAGTGTTCCCCAAGGTGGTTTTCCACCCTCAGCTCCTGAAGGTTCACGCAGAAAATTCACAAGCACCGTGCCCTCCTTCCTCAGCCACACCTCATCACCCCACATGCCAAATCCTCTCGTTCCTGGCTGAAACCACAAGTTTCTAGGTAATAGAAACTGTACTGAGCCCATCCTGGGCACCACACAAGGCTCTCCACACCTTGCAAGTCTTGGGTACCAGTAACTAAAGACCCAAAGCCCTGAGCTCATCTCCACAGACTGGCTTCTGTGGAGAAACTGAAAGGAAGCGCCCTGTGATTAACTTACTGACTGGCATTTTCATGACTCGGAGGGTGATGGAAAGCTACAGACTCGCTAAACGTGAAGAAGAAAAAAGTCCTGACTGATGCCCTCTGTAGGGAGCAGCCGGGCAATGGGAAGGAGATAAACCAGGGACTCTACATAGAGTATTAAAAATAAAAAATTGTAATATGGAGAGAAAACCGACCACAGTGATTAACCTTCTTTTAGCTGATAGAAAAAGATCTAGTTTTAAAAACGGAGTGGAAGGGACTGGCTCAGCAGGTAAAGGTGCTTGCCACCAGGTCTGACATGGGACTCACATGGTGGAGAGAAAAAAACCCACTTCCCTTGCATTGACCTCTGACCTCCACACATGTGCTACTGTAGACAGAGACTGCACCTTTGTTTCCTGGCTGCCCAAACCCGAATAATCACACAGAAACTATATTAATTACAATACAGTTTGGCCAATGACTCAGGCATATTCGTAGCTAGCTCTTCATTAACCCATTTCTATTAATCTGTGTATTGCCACGTGGCTGGCAACTTCCTCCTTTGGTGGCTACATGGCATCTCCCTGACTCTGCCTACTCTCTCTCTCTATATCTCTGTTTGGATTTCCTGCCTGGCTTTACTCTGCTAAGCCACTGGCCAAAGAGCCTTATTCATCAACCAATAAGAGCAACAGATATAAGAAGGACATTCCACATCATGCTATGGCATACATGCACCCATGAGCACATGCATGTACACATGATGTACACACAAAATAAAGTAAGAAGGGGAAGGCCTTGAAGTGATCAAAATGTACTCTGAGTGTCTAGAGAAAGACTCCTCTGCAGTGTCTAAACAAGTAGAATGAACTTTAAGCTTTCACTGAAATTCTAAATAGTTAAGCGAACATGATACAAAAGCGACTGCTTAGAAACAGGGAAAATGAAGCTGCGTGGACACATGCCATACACGCCTGCTTTCTCTTGTGTCCTCACATTAGGCGACATAGCCCACCTTATCATCTTAGACCCTGACTGGCCTGGGCTCTGCCATTGAGCATGGTGGGAGTAACAGTGCCTATTGCTGGGTCCCCTCCACACAGTGAGACCATCTGTGGTGTTCTCTCTTCATGAATGTTAGGGTGAAGGACACAGTAGCAAATACAGCTAGCTACATGTATGTGAGTAGACTCCTTTCAGAACTGATGACCCTTCCCAGTCTGGTTCATTGTTGGGCCTCATGAGACCTGGGTGTGAGGCCCAGTGTTATTTCCTGAGCCTGACTTGAGTTGCTGAGAGGCCTAGGGTAACTTCCTGAGCCTAGCTAGAGTTTGGAAACCTGTCTCTGGCTACCCGACCTAGGCCCGCCTCTGCCCAGCCACCGCTAGCATGGCAGAATATTATTGGCCCTTGTTCCTCACTCTGTTTCAACTCATCCCAAGCTTCTCCACCTCCATCACAACCCTATCTATGTCCCTGCTTGATACCATTAAAGGAGATCCGGCTTTGACAGACTCCCGACTCAGACTCAGTGGGTGTGTTTCTCCCTCATGGCCAAGGTGGGAGGGTAGCTGGGTTGTTCCACACTCACCATCCTGTTCAGCCCCAGAGAGAGTCCGATGGTTCCGGCTCTGGCCCAGCTCTTTCTGTCAGAGAACTCAGCAGTCCATGAACTCATGAACCCAGTTCACAGCTGTCATTTAAAGACACCGGGTGTTAACACGGTCTGTTGTATGGCTACAGCTTCCTCTTCTCGTTTTACCAACTCCCCATCCTCAGGATGGACAGGCTCTAAATGTCCATGGTAATTATTAGCATATCATTATTATTATTATTATCATTTAAAAGTTTTTAAGACTTTTTATTTTACTTTATATGAATGGTTTGCCTACATGCATGTATGTATACCATGTGTATGCCTGCTGGGTTCCCTGGGGTTTTAGATGTTTGGGAGCCACCGTGTGAGTGCTAGGTACTGAACCTGGATCCTCTGAATGAGCAACAAGTACTCTTAACCACTGAGTCTCTCCTCCAGCCCAGCAGCCATTATCTAAAATGAGTGGCTTACCTTTGTTTTTATGTATCCACATTTTCCAGTTTTGCTGAACGGATATGTAGAAACGGGAGGGAGGGAGGTGCAGGCATGTTCCAGTAATGGAGGCAGGAAGAAGGGGAGGGCCAGGGTAACTCACAAACGCCCTGGAACAGTTCTGAGGAATGGGGTGATGAGAGCGGAGGAAATCACCAGCTGGGAAAGGTGCCCTGAGCTATTACTCTGGTGGCCTGGATAACTGGCCGGTCATCTATAAAGCCTTTGGCTCACCCAGAGTGATGAGAATGAAGACAGATGTGATGGTTAATATTTATAAAGCACTTTAATATCCTGCAGGAAACACTGTATTATAAGATGCTGCTCCCATGCCGGGCTTGCCCTTACTTCCATCTTCAGTGTGGCTAAGGGTTTTGGAAAGACCATAGCTGACTTTGAATGGGGTGTGTGAGCTGCTTTCTTAGGTAAGAAAAATTTGGTTCTATTGTTTTGACTTTGGGTTTTTTTTAAAGTCTTTTATTACTTTCTTGGTATGTATGTGTGTTTGCAGTCATGCATGCCATAAGCATATGTGCATACCTGTGCACTCGCACACCACAACATGCATGCAGAGGCTTGAGAGCAACTTGCAAGAAGTCAGCTCTTGCCTCTCCTTCCTCAGTGTGGATTCCAAAGATCATCAGTGGGTTGTCAGTCTTGGTGGCAAACACCCTTACCAGCTGAGCCATCTCACGGGCCCCTGACTTAGAATCTTACAACTAAAACAAAAAGGTTTTTGTTTGTTTGTTTTTAAAGCTTTCTCAATTTTGATGCCAGTTTTGCATAAACTGTTCCTGTCGGGTCTTACAAACACAGCACAGCAGAGGTCATGGTCAGGGTTCAAGATGTGCCACCAGGTGAGATGGACTTACACGCAGGGAACGTGTGCATCATGGAAGGCAAAGGGAGCTGA